ATTAGAGGGTGTATTAGTAAGACAAAGATCAATTAGAGTACTAGTTGTAGCGGTAATTCTGGTAGATTCATTTATCAACTGCTCTATGTCATAGATATCTAATATCTGTCAATTTATTACTGTTCAGTGATCCAGTTGTTGGCAAGAGATCTACATTTAGGTCACCAAGCAGGAAATACTCTAAATTCTCCGCATCAAATGAACCGATCATTTTTTCAAAATCACCGAAATGACTCGCAGGAGAGTCAGGTGGTCTGTACCAAGTACTAACCAAAATAGATTTTGATCTTGGTTTTTTTACTTCTACTATCAAATTTTCGAGAGTTTCCAAATGTAAATCATGTCTTATTTTATAATTAATGTTAGACCGACTATAAATGCAAATGGCCGCCGCCATAACGGCCATTTACACTTCGGTCTCTTCGAACAATTTCAAAACCTGGTAGACAGACCTCCTGATCGGTAATTGTGGAATCAAGCTTGGTTTCGTTTATACATAATATGTCTATTTTAGTGCTACTTGTAAATATTCGTAATTCATCAATATGGGATAAGAGACTATTAATATTCAAACAAGCCATAACCATACCACGATGAGATGGTATTTTGTCTACGTTTATATACAGTAGGCTATTTCTATTAGAATAACTTGGTTCGTTTAACTCACCCACTTTTGTTGGCATTTCTTCATCTAATCTAGATTGTTCGTCAGCATTATTACTTACGGACTCCCACACGACTGTATCCTAACAATTCCTATCGTAAATATAGTTTGTAAAATTTCGTGCCATCATACTTGATCCCATTTTGTTGAGGTGGATTCTACTCTGGTTTAATTGGTTAATTGTAATGTTAGTGTGGTCGATGAATTTCCAATGTTTCTGAATACAAGATTCCTTCAGCGCTGCGTTGACTTCATTGACTTTACGTGTTAGCATTTCGTCATCTGAACGCGTGACAAGGCCAGACACGACTAGCTCCGTCTCCGGGATTGATCTCTTTATTTTTTCTCCCAATGATATAATTTCTTCTGCGCAATGAGTGGAATTCTCACGACCCTTTAGGCTATTTGTGCCGACGTGTAGAATCAATTTGTCAGGTTTTTTCTTAATACTGGCTTAACATAGTCATCCATGTCTAGTGTGGTACATCCAGGGAAGGTCGAGACTTAGTGAATTACTCCCGACATCTTGTATCCATTGATGTGCTTTATCATGGAATCGCCTGCTATTATTACTTTAACAGGATTTTGATGATTTCCTCGAGTGTTCGGATATCCATCTTTTCTCCATTGCCTGCTCGAGATGATTACATTTTTTAACAGTAGCATTTGACTCATCAGCACAGGTTGTCTCGGGAGGACAATTTTCATGCGTAGCAATTGTTGGTATTTCTTGTAGTTTCTGAGTCTGATCGCGTTTACGTTTCTTTTTCTTTTTATTTAATTCGACCCACTGGTTTCCCCCTTGATCATCCTCAGTATTGTTTACGTTTGACCGCAGAAAGTTGTCTTCCTGTATTATTCTTATTGCCGTTGTCAAGCTAGATTTTTCATTTTCGAGATGTTTGATTTTCGCTAGGAGATCTATAATCATCTATTATTTTAGAATTGGCCACTTCTAACTCACTTTTTAGATAACTCTTTTCGTTTCGGCATGTGACAGTCCTACATATCAAAGCAGTTTCATCAGCTTCGCAAACTTCAATTCGATTTTCAATAGTTTTAAGTCACCTTCGATACGCTTGAATTGAACCGCTAACTCACTGCAGTGGCATTGTGAATTTATAATTTTACCAGAATCGCAACCGTATTTAGTCGATTTCATCTCGATTTCTGAATTATCTACGTCTTCCCGGTATTCTGTGGCATGTGTAGGTATAGATGTCTTTTTAGTCGATATATTCTCACCAGTTTTGTCCATACCCAATGTATCTTCGGCTTCCGCGTGTTGCTCGTCGCTATGACCTTTGAATTCGCCTTCGATCCGGGCTAAAGTTTTAAATTTCTCGGTGAGACTTTGTTCCTTGTTATCTTTAACAAGCACGATCCTCTTATTTCTTCCATACCATTTTATTACATAATTCGTGCTAGTAAAGAGCTTTACTTCCCCACCAGGGGAAGTCCACTTGCCTTGAAGATTTAGGTCGGTTTGTACAAAGATTTTTAAGCTTTCTATAGAGCCTTTCCAGGCAAATTCATTGCCTGTGTTTATAAGATTAGTTATCTTAGACGGTGTCGATGTTATTAAGGAATTTTCTTTATGTGAACTCTGAGGAAATGTGAAATAATCCTCAATAATTATTGAGCTACCATCGCACGTCTATCCGCCATGAATGTCGTTCCAGTCGGAGACTATGCAGACTTTTAATAGAAAAACCATATTATAAAACAATTAGTACATGGTAACGCATGTGGCAATGCGTGGTAACACGTTGCTTTAGTAATTTATATTTCAAAAGCCATATTAAACATTAGTTTATTGTAACTTGAATAAATTAAAACTTTGACCCCACCAAGTAATCAAAAATTAATTAAAAAATGCTTATAGTTTCATCAACATTCAATTATCCATTAATTAACTTGAGTAACTAAAGTATTATTAATCCATGTGAAGTTATAGGACTTTCTCTAAGAAGTATGCACGGTTAATTCTCTAACTTAACGGACCGATCCAAGGATGTACTCGACAGCCCCCCCCCCCATCCGGCTCAGAAGAAGACTTGATATGGTACCATTATACAACGTAGAGATCTTTGTATGGGCCTCACAATACTATCCAAATTATAGTGAATAGTAAGACGCTTCTATTACTTCACAAAAATTCCTTAAATATTTAATCCTTGCCCCCACACCTCTGGGAATTAAATTATCCTCCCCCTCCCTTCCCCCGCCCACAGCTATTGTGCCGCACATAACATGATTTCAAATAACTTCGAGCTGCTGCCATCTAAGTTTTCTTAATTTCTAATATAATCGTCTACCAAACATATAGTGATATTTTTTTAATTTCTCCCCCATTTCTTTTATATCTCCGCCCCCACCTGGTCAACTTGGCAGTACTGTACTATTCTACATGTGAACAATAACCCGAATAGTATCATCTACAGTGACTACTACACATGCACACAAAGTGATTTCAAAAAAACTTCGAGATGCTTTTAACTAAGTCTTTATCAATTTTTAAGACAATCGTCCACAAAATATATTGAGACTTTTTAAATCAATCCCCTCCCCCCTTATTTTAATGCTGAAACCTACTGTACTTGTCCAAAACGAACATATGGTGACACTAGCACCGCAACTGTGTCACTGGCAGTTGAAATTTAACATATGATGTTGGAATTAAACTATATTGTAGTGCCTAACAACATTGAAATCGGGAGAGGGGGTTTGTCTCAAATATTTTGTGGACGATTGTAGATTAAGTTGGAAAACTGGTATAAAAACTGTTTACGACCTTCAGAGATATTGGATGTCAATAGAGAGCAAGAAATGAATGTATTTGAACTATAGCCTATAATCTTGAACCTATACTTACGCTAGATCTGCTGAACCATACTGATAGCGGGCGCATGTACGCTCAGCGTACCTATTTTTATTTTGAACCTAAATAATACACGGGAGGATTTTTCCTTCCTAATGGGACCTGCCAATTTTTCGATTGGGGCTATTCTACAATGAAGTACTCTTGGATAATGTAATCTAAATACATATGAAAACGAAGAAGTGGCATTTATCGGACAGAGAAGCGGCGAGCCATTGATTAAAATGGCGGCAATTTGGCGAAATATTGAAGGACACAATATCGAAGGTAAAATACACTGCACTGACAGCACTGTCTCACAACTTGATGGAACTTGGTACAACAACTGGATGATATTTGCGAGATTCGGCGATAAAAAGCAAACAAGACGGCAAAGTATGGCTGAAATAGTGTTTTCGTGGGGGGG